GTTCATGTGTCGGCGGTACGGCCGCGGCACCCAGGTTTCACTTCCATATAACATGGTGAGAATTATTATTGCTCGGTTTGGTTTGGTTTGGTTTGATTCGGTACATTGCAAGTTTTGTTTTGATGTGCAAATCATGATTGTGGAAAACCCTGTCTTTTAATTTTCAGAATGCTCTTGAGGCGCTGCTAACCCTGTGCTGAATTTCAGTGTCGATATTGGCCTTTTCGGAAATCAAACTGCCGAAATAATTGAATTCCGCTACATATTCCAATAGTTTTTCTCCGATTTTTATAGCATTGTTGTGATCTTCGGGGGGAGTGCAGGGGGTGTGCCCAGGTATACATATGTGTTTAACATTTCTTGTAATTGCTGTAACGTTTTTACAACTAGAGCGCAGTCATCAGCGTATTGAAGTTCTGTGATGAATTTTGTACGTGATTTTGCGCTAAGTCTTTTTATGTTGAACAGACCGCCATACACTGATAAAAAAGATAGACTTGAACTAAAGTCGTCATCGTTCTTGAAAAAAAAAAAAATTAGTGGCAAGAGAATTTATTTTAGCGTAAAAGAAAATATTTTGCCTGAAGAAAAACTCTCTTAACTCAAGAAAACTGGATCTCTTGAAAAATTCGAAAATTTCTCTTGAATCTATTTTCATTCAACCAAGTGCAAGTTACTTTGTTTTAAGATAATAACAAAAATACTCTAGGAAGTACTTCATTTAAGAAACATGGCCATTTTTCCAATAGCTAAATACTCTTTTGATGAAAAATAATAACGACACGCAAAGACGATGACGAAGGACGGTATATACAATCAGTCGTACGTCGCATTTCATAGGTCGCACATCATAGTACCCACGGGTTTTGTTGCTTGGAATGTTGCAAAATTTGATTTTTAAACGCATATCGTATAACAAATTAGTGATCGTTATTAACATGCATTTGCCATTTTTTATGGACAAATTTTAGGATATATGGATCCTTTAAAGTAGTTTCTGAAAAAATGGAAATTAGAGCATTTATTTGCTATATTTGAAGGTAAGAGACATTTACCCTGTTTAGATAATGCATGCGTGACTATAGATAGAATAAGAATATAGGTATATCAATTTTTTATGCAAATAATTACAAAAATTTTAGAATTTCAAGTCGTCGTATTAAAAAATTCAAAACGTAACCAAACCTTATAATTTTAATAATTTGTTTGCTTTACTTTGATTAATCGTAATGTAACATTTTTTTGTAATTTGTAGGGTGATGAACCACCCCAAAAAATACCAAGGAGTGAAGAAGCAGAAATAACTACTATCGATGAAAACAATATCACTTTACTTACTACAGACCAGGAAAACCTAAATTTATCAGAAAATAATATACCTCGTAATATGCCTGTATATATGATGTATAGACTTCTCTTTGATCGAAATAAATTTTAGTTGAGTCAATGGTATTCGCTATTGGTTTAAGAAAAGTGTCTCTTTAATCAAGAAATGTCCCTTTTCAATAAAGAATTTTTACATGAATCAAAGAGACTATTGTTCTTGTAGCAAGAACTTCTTTGCATATTAATATTGGGTCAAGAGTGAAATACTTTGGACAGATAGATTCTTCTATTCTCTAAAGTAATTTTTTAAAGCTTATGAAAAGATAGTTAATGCTTTGGGCAAAGAAACGTCGTTCTTGGCCCTATTGAACAGCGCCAATCTTTTGGGTCAAAGTCATATTCATTTCGACTGAGAGATCCTTTTTTTCAGTGTAGTACTTGTATTTTGTATCTAATGCCCAATCCTCTTTTCTGCAGTTTGCTGTCCAATATAATGGAGAGCGCTGCCACAAATATGTTGAATAGCAGAGGCGCTAAGACACATCTCTGCCTAACTCCTGTATTTGTTAAGAAGAGATCGCTCAGTGATCCATGATGTGACACTCTTGACTTACGTTGTTGGGTACTCCGAACTTTTTCACAATTGCCCTCTCATAAGTGCATCTCTGTTCACAGAGTCGAAGTCTTTTGTTAGGTCGATGAATGCAACATAAAGTTTACACTGCTGCTGTTTTATTTTTCCTGTAGTTGGATAACATGGATAATATGGACGGATAATATGGAATCAACAGTGCCGCGGTTGGTGCGAAAACCCGTTTGCGCTTCTGGGAGTATTTTTTCTATGAGTGTCTACATCTAGTCATTGAAACAGAGGTCTAAATCATAAAAAAGTTATACCGACGTCAAACAGCAGTGCGTTTCAGAAGAAATGAATGCGTTTTTTTACCCTTGTATTTTTTTATACATGATATAGAGGCGGGAAGATGGGTGACATAATTGGACGAGCTAATGCAGTGAATATTGCAAGGAGAAAAATGAAAGGAAACGAACCCCAGGACGAAGAAAAGTTACTTGCCTTTCTAATTGTAGAGCCTCGTTCGGAAAAACGTCCACCCAGAATGATGGCTAACGTTCGAAACTTAAGAAGAAGAATCTATTAAAGGAAATCGATATTTTAATATATCGATAATCGTTGATCGTCCCTATTGAGTACTCTCTAGCTGAAGTACCTACCGGGGCAATAACCGTATCGGGTACCCACCCGCACCCACGCACGTCTAGAGATTGCATTATAACGTATTACGGTTTGTGTGTATGTCGATATACGTACGCTCTGTCTCTGTGCATGTGTACCCGTTTGTTACTGACCAGTTCAATGTTTATTTCGGCCTAAATATGGCGAACTTTGTTGGAAACAGCTGCGCCGAAATATTTAGCTTTTGATCGCGAATGGATCTGGCATTTGCAGTTGTGGGGCATGTTAAGAAAGTGGCTAAGGAAAGAAGAATTAATTAGATAAAGAAAACTTTCAAAGTGGTGCTTATAACGAATAAAGATAACACTGGTCTGCAAATAATAAATAATTCTTTATTTATTTTCTTCTACAACCCACCATTTTTGAGAGAGTCACACCTTGAAACCTTGGAAAAAAAGAGTTATAAAAGGTGAGCCAATTTTGGCTAAAAAACTTTCTTCTAGAGAAGAAAAAGAAAATTTTCAAAATTTCAGAATTCCATCGAGATGACAAATCCTCGGAATCCTTGGCACCGATCGTACCCAAGCAAGCATGTAATATCTGCAGGAATCCGCGTTGCAACACGCGGCCGCAGCGGCAACATATCTAGCCCGTTGCCTTTATATTGTTGTCCGATTATTTTCGTTTCCGATAAAAATTGGGCAGTTGGGCAACGCCGCCGGCCGGCCGTCTCGTGCTATCGCAACTTTATTCTATTTTCTTGACAACGCAATTAATATATCGCTCGGTATATGCGTCGCTGTATTGTGCATTGGTGAAAAAAACAACGTTAGAAACCTTTATTTCGCGGTCTTGGTCTCATTGTGCTCGGTTTTCGCACAATGTGATTAATGCCTCTGGAGAAAGAAACATTATTCCTTTACATATAATATCTAAAGTTTATTCGGCTACGGGAGGGACGACTTAGATGGTCAACATATACAAATTGACAGAAAAAAAATACGTTGTGTTTCGTCCCCCCACCTCTTTTCATTAATAAGACGTATCCTTGACGTATCTATAAGAGCAAAATATTGATCCTCTGGAGCTACTTTGGATTTCTTTCGTTACCATCGAATGTCTAACAGCTCTGATTGAGTCAAATTGCTTCAGTAAAGCTTGTTTTTCATGCATCCGCTATCCGTTGATATACGATGGTCCGACGGCGCTCTGATTGGTTATAGGGTTAGGTAAATTTTTTTACTCCAGTCCGTCAACGGAGAAAGATCGTACGAGAACTAACGTTTTGACACTTTTTTTGACAAATTGAATCTAACTTTAAGAAAAATGTAACAGTACAAGAGCTAGCAACGTCGGGAAAACGAGAAATTTAACAAAGCTGTTTCTTTAAAAAGCTTGCATTCAGCTTGCCTTACCGGCCGGTAGACTACTGCGATTCACTACTCCGCATCACATCTGTACAGGTACCATTTGTGTGGTTTATGGGATTTCTCGTTTACGAGTAGAGATACAATGATGCGATTTCCACATTACTTTGCTACTTTTTTATGAAACAAAATATGTTACACATATGTTTGTCCTAGCTAGCATTCTTAGTTTCTGAAATACAGAGTAAATATGTGATGCGCAGTAGTGAACAGATGTTGAATACAAATATGATGCGCAGTAGTGAAGGCAACGTCTACCGGCAGCCAGACGGTCTGCCCTCTATTCAGGAGAGCATAGCAAAAGATATATTAAGGAACCAGCTTTCTTAAAATTCTCTCTCGAAAACGTTGCTAGTTCTTAGACCAGCAGTTCCAAAAATATATTTAAAAATAAAAGACAAAAATCCAAATTATTAATTATCTATTAACATGGATTTGGACGATAATAGGTAAGAATACTAAATTTATTTCTATATTCGGTATACAATTATTTATTAGGTTTTTAGTTTGCGATGTTTATGGGGATAGAGATGAGGATATCTATGGAAAAGTAACCACAAGAGGAATTGTTACATCATTTAAAAAATGTTGGGAAGTTGATTGTTTCCCATCGAAAAAAAGTAGAAAAGGCCAATGCAGTATTCTATATATAATGAATAAATAATTCTTTTTTTATACTGCAAAAATAAACTATAGAATACAACACTATTTAAAAAATTAAATAAAAAAGTTATGCCCCGGCCGAGATTCGAACTCCGGTCTCTCGCTTCCTAGCCTTCTTCACGCACTGCTCCACAGTAACTTGCTTAGCGATAGTTCAATGACGGTATATAAACAAAAAAAAAACAGGTTTATTACAATAGCTTGACGATTTGAACAGGCGCGCGGAGCGTGCTGACCAATAGCGCCTGTTATCACCTGTGACGTAGCGACCAACCTGCGCAATATCATACTTCGTTTTTTTTGTACCATGGTTGGCGACATCGAGAATGTCACGTCGACAATTTAATTTTTGACATGTCAAACAGTGACGTCAGTCTGACTGACTGACATGAGGTGTCATCAATTGATTCCCTGGTTTATCTAGACTTTTGACAGAGACCCACCGCACGTTGCACTGGCGTTCGTCTATTTCTTGGTAGTCTGTGTATTGTAGAACGAATTGGCCATTTTAAGGGAAGCAGGAGTACTTTCAAAAATGGAATCCAGAGCCGAAACGATGCGATGATGAATTTAGAACTTCAGAAGAAGGTTAGAACTATTCTGTAAAAACTATCACACGTTATATATTTATATTTTTTTAGATCAAATATCTGAAGTAGCTTTAAATTCCAAATTTTGGCTCGAACATTATTCCGAAGGTTTTCAAGCATTGGATCGAAACCAATAGTTTCAGACGTACTCAGTTGACCACTTCGACCTTTCAGACGGTGTCCTGTATTTACCAATTTTTCCTGTAGTACCAAACCAACCGAATGACCTATTTTTCAGTATCATTTTGGATATATCCTAGTAAGCCCTTTTTGTTATTATTATTATTATTATATACTTTATTACCATTGTGATTTTCTTTCTAATACCAAACGCCTTAATTTTCAGATTGATAAAGATTTTGAGATAGAATATCCAGAAAAAGTAAATAATTTTTTTACGAAATTCTCTGTTCTGTTTGACGCAGCATTGGAGCTTAAGAAAAAGACTTGTGTCAACACGGACAATGAGTTCTTAGTTAACCTGTACAAGGCGAATTATCACAAGGTATGTTAAATTTCAAAAGCATATAAATATGCGCTAACCCAGATGGACATAATCTTTTTCCAAATTTTAGATTCACGAACCCTTATTCAGACTTATCTATTATGTTCTTTCATATGTAATAAGTGAATGAAGTTAAAAAAGTGGAAACCCAGTGTTGCTGAATCAAGAGAATCGATTATACTTCAAGTCAAGTGCCCTACAGCATATTGAACAAATTTTTACAATTAAATCTTAATTCTGCATATAAAAAATGTTGCATTTACGCAAATAAAAAATAATTTTAGTTACAAAACTGGTACGCTTCTCGTAATTAAAGTTTACTGTTACGGATAAAATATATATGTTTTAAAAATCTTATTAAAATTGGGAATAATATATACCTTTCTATTCTAAATTATAATTTATTTATCACAATTAAATCAAGATATTCTTGTTGACAATCATTAATTATAGATATCATAATATAATGCTGAAACAAATAAACTATTATTAAGAGAATTAAATCATGTTTTTTTTTCTGTATTGTAAAATATTACTTATAGCAAATATGATTTTCATTAACCAATTAAATTTACTAATTAAATAATTGAATTCCTTCAATTACATATTTAATTGCCCGATACGAATTAAATTATTTAATTATCAGAAATATCTCCCACTTATATAAATTAAATCTTTCTCTCTGTGTGCATAACTAGGTATTTTACAGTCTTTTTTGAAATTAGCAATAATGTCATTGTGAATTTAAGTTCTGACACAATATGCTTCTAGATTTCCTACCTCCAAACGATCCAATTATAGAGTAGTAAATAATAAACACAAAAAAATCAGCTCAGAAAAATTCAACAAAATCCGCAATATTTGAAATGAAATTCATATATGTCAGTTGAATACTCTGTTGAAAATAGGACATCAGAAAATGTATTATAAATATCCGATCGAGGGTTAAACATAATAATTAAGTTTCCTTATACTACCTTTTATGTATACTGATCTCTTATTGACTTGTACATCAGATGATAGAATGATGCACATCGATGCAAGTCAATTGATATTAATTATTCGCAGTAGAATAATGCTCAATTCCATTACTCGACTATAGGAACGATTTTAATAAGGAAGCGGCACAGAGAGGCTTGAATTAGCAACGGCATCAATTTTATCGACGATTATGGGCTCCCGGAATTAGTCAACCATTATTTCTGCCAATTCATTCCAAGTGTTTTATCTCTTTCTCTAGTTTTTTTCTTCTTATTATTATTGTTATTACCACTCCTTTACTGAATCTTAGAAAACGAGATTGAATTTACGTTGTTTTCGTAGTTTTTGTTATTTTTTTCCATGCTGGTAACGACGAAAAGTGTGTAGTCATTTTTCTCAGTGCTCTAGAAATCTATTTAGATGACAAATCTTCACCTATATTTTTATATTTTTTTTTTATTGAAATCGTATTCGTATACATAGTATTAATCAAATATTGTTATCGTCATTCGTCATATGCTGTTTCTATCCTTGATGAAGATCTTCCTTGCATAATATTCTTCTTTAAGGTTCGTACATCTTATTTTTTCTTTCCTGTATATGTATAGTGTCTTGGGAGTAGCATCTTGGGAACAGCAGCCTTGGGAGCAGCTTGCCAATGTAGAGCCGTTCGGTATACTAGGAAGGTAATGTGGTTAGCACTACGCTTCAACTACGCCTATTATTACCTCAGGATTGTGAATCCCAAGTACTCATTTAAGGCTGAGTCGACCTAGGTACCCAAACTATTTTTATGGCAATGTGGGTAGCATTACGCTTCAAATGCTTATTATTGAGCCCAAACTCCTTGTACCCAAACTATTTTTATTTTTATTAAAAAATAGTTGGCTGATGAACTGCCGGCTGCAGGACTCGAACTCACAATCTTTAGATTGGTAGACACCATCGGGTACCTATATATTCTTTTTATTATTTTATAAATGTTTATAGGTAAAAAACTTTGAATCTTAATGAAAAATATTGCTATATGTTTATATATTATTCATAAATCTTTTAACTAAATGTTTTAATATTAACCCATTAAGGCCCAAATGCAAATTAATAATAAAATACCCAATTTTATTAGAAAAAGTAACTCAGTTGGGTGTAAGTAATAGTTAGAAATATAAAAAAATGGCAATCTGGGCTTTTAGGAATGCAATATGGCGCCGTACTCAAATAAGTACACTGGGCTAATGGGTGTAAAAATACTACTCCTTTAATACTACAAAACTATATCTATTTAAAGTATTTTTAACAAAATAAGTGAAAATATACTAGTTATTTTTGTTATACCTATACAAATAAAAAACTTAGGTCATAAATAAAATATTTTTAAGTATGATATTTCTCAAAACACTCTCTTTCTACGCAAAGTGTAACAATGCACTTTTTACAACGCCATCTAATACGCAAATGGCACACGCTACATCTAAGCTGTTTCTCAATCTTCTCTGGGAAGTGACCAACATTGTCATATCTCACAGCACCAGGAACTTGACATGGTCGATTAGTTTTACGAGTTTTATTGTTCAAGCGGAGATAATACCGAGCAACATATCTTGTAAAGTCAAGAAGGCTAATTTTTTCTTCCGGCGAGGCACAAATTTGATGTAACTTCCAGGAATTTGTCATGGTTACATTGACCATATGAGTGAATAAACACCACCACCATTTCTTGCCCCTTATGCTTATTCTGTAAGTATTTGTTGCCTGGTCATTCAAGTCAACGCCGCCCATTCCAGCATTATAATTTTGAAAAACCAAAGGTTGTTGGACCGTAGTTATCTCCTTTTTGGCTCGCGACCATCGCTTGACGTAGTTGAGAGGTTCAATAAAATCGTGATTACTAGCCATTGAGCAAACACTATTGTCTTTCCATTTCACAATCAGTAAGTTATTCTCACAGTTAAATCTATAGTCGTATGTGCCCCTTTCCTCTTTGTCCATCATTTTAGAAGACTGAATGTTACAATTCTTCTGCCGATTTTCACGAATAGTGCCTGTAGCACGTATACCTTTAGCTGTCAATTGGTTCATGAGACGAAGAGTGGTAAAAAAATTGTCAAAGTACACTATGTGGTCAGCTGGGTTGTCTAGATGTTCTAGCAATGAAATTACCACATCAGCACCAAGACCAAGTGATTGCCCCTTCTTCTCACTGTTTTTGCCACAATAGGTGTCAAACGCGTAGCAATACCCGGTTGAACTGCACAACATCCAATCCTTGAATCCGAAGCGGACTGGTTTTCCGCGGATAAATTGTTTGGCGGAGTGGTGCCCAAAATATTTCACCATTGCTTCATCCACGCTCAGAGATTTATGAAAAAATCCCCACTGTCTAAAATTTTTGTTCAAAATGTCCATAAGGGGCCGTAACTTGAACATTTTATCATTTTTATTTATTTTATCATTATCTGCAAAATGTAGGTATCTTTTTATTTCTAGAAATCTATTGCGTGAGATAGATCCCGAAACAATTTTGACACCTAAATCTTCATCTAAAGACCAATACATCCTCTGTTGTGGCAATTTGTGATACCCAGAGAGCAACAAAATTCCAATGAAAATTTTCATTTCTTCCATGGTAGCAAAAAAATCATGATTATTTTTCTGTCGAGAGTAAATAATTGATTGCTCTATCATAAGTTGGAACACATTATCGTCAAACAGTTTCTCAAAAATTTGCACTGGATTATAGCCACGTAAACTTTCCTTTACTTTTTCTAAACGATCATTAGCGCCATTTTCTGTGTCACGTGAGAAAACATAAACCGGCTCAATTTTCTCCCATACAGGATTTCTCTCTTCGGCACGAGGACGCTTGCTGACAAATATTGATAATGGCTCGTCGTCACTGTCACTCCATTCGTCTGTATTGCCAAAATTTACTTCAATATATCCGGGCACATCGTTTGGAATATGGCTTTCCATAATATTATCATCATCAAACTCTTCTTGATCGGTGAGAACATCCGGTTCTGGTGGCAGGACTATTACATCAGCCTCGTCTTCGTGACTCTCAATTGCATCCGCAGCTTCTTGCAATGTAGAAAATATTTTTCGACCATAAAAACTTGTGGTCGTTATTGGTTGAAAGTCGTCATCCATTTCTGAAACAAAACGTAGCTTGAAATTAAAAATTCATACTTGAGCCCACTGTACTCATTTGAGTACATCCGTGTTTGGCGCTGATTCACGTTTCAGGAAATGAGGTTATGAATCTATGGCTAATTTTTACCACTTGTTTAATACATATAAAATAGATATTTGGCGTAATTTGTCAATAATTATACAAATAGCCTCCTAAATATATTATATTCACTTTACTTACCAGGTTCAAAAATAATCATATTTTAAAACTGTAACTAATCTTTTCAAAACACACCAATACCTGTCAACTATCAGTAAACACTGCCCAGAGATTAATAAAATATGGCGCGATAGCTAACAACTTAATATATTGCCCATCAGATGGCAGAGTTTGTCCAAAATAACTGTACTCATTTGAGTACGGCGGGCGTTAATGGGTTAATAATAATTCTCTTTTTATATAATAAATAATGTTAAGTAGGTCTCTAACAAAAAAAAACATTCATATATTATCTACATAATATCCAACCGGTTACTCATCTTTGTTCTAGATTTACTCCGATTTTTTGAACCATTTCTACCAGACGTGTACTGGAAATTAATGAGCCGGTTAAAAACCAGTTTTACCATTTTATTTTTAAATTGTTGATATTAATGCGTAGACGCACAATTATAATGAGGTATTATAATCAATCTTGAATATTTAGAAATAGGTACTAGATTTTTTTCTTTACTCAAGCCCGTCCAACTATTATCTACGTGCAGGACTGCATAGTAAAAATCTCAGAGATATAAGTGAATGTAGAGACTCCACAATATACAGTATGTCAACGGATTGTCTTTACAAGAGGAAAAACTTTTTTATTATTGACATTTTGAGAAAAATGCATTCTTCATAATAAAATTTTGATTGTTTTAAAATAATCCCGTTGATACTTTTTCAAATTTCCATACCGTTTTAGAGAAAATTAGAAAAAAACATGTAAATATGGTTTAATATTTTCCTAAAAATAAAAAGGCTGTTCAATGGTCATATAATTTCAATGTTATTCTTTGACAAATGGTTATTATTAATTTTAATTAACATCATATTTTTACTGTTGTTAAAGTATCACATTTTCCGATACCTACTATCACCCTTTCCCTAGCATTGGAAAACAGCAAAAAATACGACGTTAATTAAAATTCTATCAACAATTATCAACGAATGATATTGAAATTATATTACCATAGAAACGCCTTTTTATATTTTTAGGACTTTGAGGAATAAATTCTACCATATTTTCATGTTTTTTTTAATTTTCTCTAAAACAGTATGGAAATTTG